GCTCTTTAATCAGTCAATAGGTTGTAATAGTTTCACCATGAGCCCAGTCTGATAGTGACCATTCAGTTGGTCTGCAATCAAGTGACCCTCTGGGGTTAGGAACTTTTGGCCATTTGGGCTGTTGCAGGCATGCCTCTTACTCTCCAGCCCTTCGGTGTTGTCTTCCAAGTTCAATCTGCTCCAGGCAGCATGAGTGTCCTTATTCTTTCAAACCAGATTGTTCCCAATTTCAGAGACTTGGATCAGCATGAGGGGAGCTATGTGTTGGAGCAGAACAGAGGTTTCTCATTGCTGTTTCATGATACAATTCATCCAATGCCTATCAGTTGTTTGGGCTAAGAGAAGAACAGAGTTGGAAGGAACCTTGGCAGTCTTCTAGTCCAATTCACTCCTCAAGCAGGAGACCCTATACCATCTGACAAGTGGTTGTCCACTCTCTTCTTAAAAGCCTCCAGTGATGGAGCACCCACAACTTCTGAAGGCAATCCGTTCCACTAATTTATTGCTCTCACTGTTAGGAAATTCCTCCTTAGTTCTAGGTTGCTTCTCTCCTTAATTAGTTTCCATCCATTGTATCTTGTCTTGCCTTCTGGTGCTTTGGAAAATAGGTTGACCCCCTCTTCTTTATGGCAGCCCCTCAAATATTAGAACACTGCTATCATGTCACCCCTAGACCTTTGGCGTACAAGTTTTACATGATTGCATACGGGTTTAGCACTCTTCAAAAATACTGCTAGACTTAAGTTCAAATGGAGCTGTTCTTAGTTGATAATCATGCTGACTTAGAATTCATGTCCACAAATCCCAAACAGTTTACTCTTCTATCAAAACTCATTTCTTTCCTGACCAACATCATCTATATTGAGAGTGATTAGAAGATATTTTTCTACTAGCTGGTGACATTAGGTAGGAGAGCAGGGGAGCAAAGCTTGGGATATCAATTCATCCTTATCCTGAATGTGTCTGCAAACTGTAAATAAGATCAGTGTCATTTGCTAACTGCATGTCAATAGTTGTCAATAGTAAATTTCATGCCAATATATTTTTTTGGTAGCTCAAGAAATGGTATATCACATTTCAACATGGCCGTGAAAAATTCCTACATCCTCAGTACTGGTAGTCTTCAACATATACAACATAATGAACATTAGAAGTTACAATGGCACTGAAAAAAGTGACTTATGGTCATTGGTTCTCACACTTATGACTGTTGCAACATACCTGTGATGACCCGTAGCGTAATACAAATGTAACAAAATCCAAAACGTAAATAAATGTCCTTTAATGCCTCCAACTTGGCCCCACTGTTCAATAATTCTCAGTTGGAGATAAAATTTATTCAAAAATAGTCTTCAAAAGAAAGCAATACAGTCTGAACTTAATGAGCAGATAGGGTTGAAATACAAAAACTAAAACAAACTACAATGAAGGAATTTCCACAATGGACCAGGATAAATTATTACCAACTTCAAGGCACAGTCTTTTGGAAGAATGCCAACCAAGATAACTTCAGCCCAAAATAACACACACTTTGCTTCTGGCAATGCTGTGTTTTAACCGTCTCTCTTATATACTATTCTCTCCGGCTGCAACCAATGAGGGGGATTATGGCTGCTTCCTTTCTTGTAAGCCAAGTTGTTTCCTTCTCCGTTCCTCCCTTGTGTCCTAGGATGAAGAGGGGATGGGCCTGGTTCTTCCTCTGCTTGCCCAGCCGGCCTCTGCCCTTCCCCAGCCTCCTCCACAACCTCTGGAGCCACACCTCCCCTCCATGTCGGCTGTTCCTCCTCTCCCTCAGAGTCCGACTCTAACAAGGGCATGACAATCCCTATAGTAACATGGTCAAAATTTGTGCACTTGTCATGTATTTATGATGGTTGCAGCTTCCCTGGTTCACGTGATCACCATTTGTGACTTTCCAGGCAACTTTCAACAACCAGTTAATGTGGAAAGTTGGATTTGCTTAATAACCAGATGATTCATTTAACATCTGAAGTGATTCACTTAACAATGTGAAAAAAATGTCATAAGATCAGGTATAATCCAGTAACTGCCTTACTTACAATAGAAATTTTGGTCCCAGTTTTGGTTCATAAGTTGAAGATTACCTGTACCTTGAATTAACTCATTCCAGAAAAATTAATTATGTGCATGATTCTGCTGCATAATGGTAAATCATCCCAAACATTTTACATGGCATCACACTGTTTCTTCTTCAGAAAGTAATGTGGGTTGTTTGGCCACTTGATGATAGAGGAAATAGACATGCAAGCAGGCATAACATACATTGACCAAGTGAGGAGAATTCATAAAAACCTTTTGAGCTAGCATTCAATACCAAGAAAAAAGACTAGACTAGAAAAATCGAAAAGGAGAAGATTATATCTTAAGAAGCTACAAAAACATCTGGAAAGGTTTGGCTGGCAAAAAAAAAGTTAGATCCATTTTATTTTCATGACCTCCAATTATATTTCCTAATTAGTATCCTATTATGTCTGATCTTTCCCGTCAGCCTTTCTCAATACCACTATCAGTACCCCAAATCTAGAAATATGACTAGTTACTTATCATATTTATAGGATATATGTATCTGCATTAAGGCACAGAGATACTGATTTGCTGAAATTTTTATAATGTTATGTCCCAAAGGTGCTTTTTCAAGAGGCAACTGGACTTTCTGATTTTGTTTTGAAGACATTTCACTTCTCATCCAAGAAGCTTCTTCAGCTCTGACTGGATGGTGGGAATTGGGAGGATTTATAACCTTTGCATACAGCTGGTCATTTGTATTCTTTTAGCAAGTCATTAAGACTTATCTGGGTCACCTTTGGGAAACCACCCTATGCATATATGGACTCCCCAAAATCCAAGAGGGAATTCCACTGAGACCAATTGTCAGCAGCATCAACTCTGTCACCTACAACATTGCAAAACATTGTATTAACCACCTTATTAGCTCCTCTAGTTGGCAACACCATCCATCACATCAACAATTCACAGAACATCGCCAGCAAGGTTTGGAACTTAAAACTGGACCCGGATGAGTCCCACAACAGGGGGGATAAGTCTGCCTACCAAGATGAGGTGGACCGGTTGCTTTCGTGGTGTGGAAACAATAACTTGGTCCTCAACATCAATAAGACCAAGGAGCTTATAGTGGACTGTAGAAGGAACAGATCAGACATCCAGCCCTTGCTTATCAATGGAGACCAAGTGGAGCAAGTGGCCAGTTTTAAGTTTCTGGGTATTACCCTAAAAGAGGACCTGACCTGGGGTGCCCACATTGCAGCCCTGGTCAAAAGGGCCCAACAGAGATTATACTACCTGAGACTTCTTAGAAAACAACAACTGAATGAAAAACTGTAGGTGACCTTCTACCGCTGCCCCATAGAGAGTATCTTAACATACTGCACCTCTGTATGATTTGCCAATTGCACAGTGGTAGATAGGAAAGCACTCCAGAGGGTTAACGTCATTGCCCAGAAGATCATTGGTTGCCCTCTCCCTTCTTTGAAAAAGCTTTATAGCTCCTGCTGCCTTAAGAAAGTTCAAAACATTCTCAAAGATCCATCTCATCCTGGGCACCCTTTTTTTTTAAATTATTACCCTCTGGCAGACAGTACAGAATAATAAAAACAAGGACAAACAGGCTGAAAAACAGCTTCTATCCCAGGGCAGTAGCTCTTTTGAATTCTGCTGTATAGTGCAGTGTTGGTGCGGTGATGGGGGTTTTGGTTCAATGTGTGGAGTGTGAAGGATGTGTGTTTATTTTCATGGTCATGATGTGCATTGAAGATGGTGTTTGATTTCACTGTACAAGGTACAATGACAATAAAGTAAACTAAACTAAAATGAGCCCTTGGTTTCCCATGATGTGACTTCTCTCTTCACGTGCATTCCAACTACTGAAGCTGTCGTGGTAGTGAAAAAATGACTTGTACAAGACAGCACCTTAGATGATAGAACCAACCTCAGCTCAGACCACATATGTACCATGCTGGACTTCTGCTTGACCATTACCTATTTTAAATACATTGAAGATTTCTACAGACAGAAACATGGCTGTGTCATGGCTTCCCCTGTGTCCCCATTGTGGTCACTCTCTACATGGAAGTGGTAAAAACCAGAGCTCTGGACTCCTTCACAGGAATTCACTAGTATAGGTATGGGGACAATACTTGAGCCAAGATCAAAGCACAGGAATTGGAAGTGTTCACCAAACATACTATACAAATTCTATGGACAGATACATTAAGTTCACATAGGAAGATGTTCAAGAAAATAGTCTAGTCTTCCTGGACTGTGTGGTACACATTAACAGTGAAGTTTATAGAAAACCTACCCACACAGATCAATATTTACATTTTGATTCCCACCACCCACTGGAGCACAAAATGGGTCATGAGAACCCTACACCACAGCCTACCAGGAAAGAAAAAGAACAAGAAGACATCAAGGAAGCCTTCAGAATGTGTCACTATCCCAAGTGGGCCTCCATCAAATCTCTAGAAAGACCAGACAGGAGCTCCTCCATAATAGATAATGAAGAAAAGAATAAGCAAAACAACATTGTCATTCCGTACATTGAAGGCACAACAAAAAAGCTCAGGAAGATCTTCAGCCAACATGACATACACGCACACTTCAAACCCAAGAACACACTAAGTCAGAAGCTTGTCCACCCCAAAGACAAAAACTGAGCAACGTGGTATATGCAGTACAATGTAGTGAGCTATGTGCAGATCTGTACATTGGGGAAACAAAACAACCACTTCATAAACAAAAGACACAACATAGGGGAACAAACACATTAGGACTAGATTCAGCAGTCAACCTGCATTTAAAAGACACAGGCCACCCTTTTGAAGACTCGAACTTCCAAATTTTGGACAGAGAGGACTGCTGATTTGAAGGAGGAGTCAGGCCATTTATGTCAAAATTGAACATCCTTCTGTTAAAAGAGGGGATGGAATATGACATCATCTATCTTCAATCTACAATACAATTTGTTAACCTAATCCCGCATAGTTTTTTCTCTGGTAATATCACACTACTAACTAGAGCATACAAAACATTTGCTAGACCAATATTTGAATACAGTTCATCAGTCTGGAACCAGCATTATGTATCTGATATTAATACAGTTGAGAAAGTCCAGAAATATTTCAGAAGAAGAGTTCTCCACTCCTCTACTCATTGCAGAATTCCTTATGCCACCAGATTTGAAATCCTAGACCTAGAAAACCTAGAACTATGCCTCCTTCAGTTCAATCTAAGTATAGTACATAAAATTATATATTGCAATGTCCTTCCTGTCAACGAATACTTCAGCTTCAAACCATAACCACATAATAGATACAAACTCAAGGTAAATCGCACCAAAGTTGATTGCAAGAAATACGACTTCAGCAACAGAGTGGTCAATGTCTGGAATACTCTACCTGACTCTGTGGTTTCTTCCCCAAACCCCAAAAACTTTAACCTTAGACTGTCCACTATTGACCTCACCCCTTTCCTTAGAGGTCTGTAGGGGGCATGCATAAGGGCACCAACGTGCCTACCATCCCTGTTCTATTGTTTCTTTTTATTTTTCTTATATGTATCCATTTCATGTATTCATAACTATGTTTATACTTATACCTGTTATAATCGCTTGACAAAATAAATAAACAAATAAATAAATACAGTCCTTTCAGCAGTTCCAAGAAGGCTTCACACCTATTTGCACCACACAGGTGACCTTGATGACCCAGATAAACTTCCAGGTGACTTTAACGACTCACTAAAAGAATGCAAATGTCCAGCTGTCTGCAAGGAGTATACAGGTGAAAGTCAAAAAATTAGAATATCATGCAAACGTTTATTTATTTCAGTAATGCAACTTAAAAGGTGAAACTAATATATGAGATAGACTCATTACATGCAAAACAAGATAGTTCAAGCCATGATGTGTCATAATTGTGATGATTATGGCTTACAGCTCATGAAAACCCCAAATCCACAATCTCAGAAAATTAGAATATTGTGAAAAGGTTCAATATTCTAGGCTCAAAGTGTCCCACTCTAATCAGCTAATTAAGCCATAACACCTGCAAAGGGTTCCTGAGCCTTTAAATGGTCTCTCAGTCTGGTTCAGTAGGAATCACAATCATGGGAAAGACTGCTGACCTGACAGATGTGCAGAAAATCATCATTGACACCCTCCATAAGGAGGGAAAGCCTCAAAAGGTAATTGCTAAAGAAGTTGGATGTTTCCAAAGTGCTGTATCAAAGCACATTAATAGAAAGTTATGTGGAAGGGAAAAGTGTGGAAGAAAAAGGTGCACAAGCAGCAGGGATGACCGCAGCCTGGAAAGGATTGTCAGGAAATGGCCATTCAAAAGTGTTGGGGGCTTTCACAAGGAGTGGACTGAAGCTGGAGTCAATGCATCAAGAGCCACCACACACAGATGGATCCTGGACATGGGCTTCAAATGTTGTATTCTTTTTGTCATGCCACTCCTGAACAACAGTCAACATCAGAAGCGTCTTACCTGGACTAAAGAAAAACAGACCTGGTCTGTTGCTCAGTGGTCCAAAGTCCTCTTTTCTGATGAGAGCAACTTTTGCATCTCATTTGGAAACCAAGGACCCAGAGTCTGGGGAAAGCAGAGGCACACACTGCAAGATGCTTGAAGTCCAGTGTGAAGTTTCCAGCCTGTGTTGATTTGGAGAGCCATGTCATCTGCTGGTGTTGGTCCACTGTGCTTCATTAAGTCCAGGGTCAACACAGCCGTCTACCAGGAGATTTTGGAGCATTTCATGCTTCCTTCCACAGATGAGCTTTATGGGGATGCTGACTTCATTTTCCAGTAGGACTTGGCACCTGACCACACAGCCAAAAGCACCAAAACCTGGTTCATTGACCGTGGGATTACTGTGCTTGATTGTCCAGCAAACTCGCCTTACCTGAACCCCATAAAGAATCTATGGGGCATTGCCAAGAGAAAGATGAGAGACATGAGACCGAACAATACAGAAGAACTGAAGGCTGCTATTGAAGCATCCTGGTCTTCCATAACACCTCAGCAGTGCCACAGGCTGATAGCTTCCATGCCATGCTGCATTGAGGCAGTAATTGCTGCAAAAGGGGCCCAAACCAAGTACTGAGTACATATGCATGTTTATACTTTTCAGAGGTCCGATATTGTTCTATGTACAATCCTTGTTTTATTGATTCCATATAATATTCTAATTTTCTGAGATTGTAGATTTGGGGTTTTCATGAGCTGTAATCCATAATCATCACAATTATGCCAAATCACGGCTTGAACTATCTTGCTTTGCATGTAATGAGTCTATCTCATATATTAGTTTCACCTTTTAAGTTGTATTACTGAAATAAATGAACTTTTGCACAATATTCTAATTTTTCGAGTTTCACCTGTAAATCCTTCCATTCCCCATCATTCAGTCAGAGCTGACGAAGAAGCTTCTTGGATGAGAAGCAAAACGTCTTCAAAGAAAAAACAGAAAGTCCAGTTGCCTCTTGAAAAAAGCACCTTTGGGGCAACCATGACTTGGATGACTGAGAATCTCCACAGACATCTATAATATGTTTTTGAATCTATATCTTCCTGGTCTAAATTTATTGTTCTGGCTACCACAATTCAATTACGATTATGTAATTGAACATATTAGAGAACACCAAAATATTTAAAACATTATGTCCTGGAGAACTTATTTACAATAAATATTAAATGCCCACAATGAAAGGAAGAAGAAATTATGTGATTTGATTAATGAGTGAAGATAGGAAACAGTAAAGAAATTGGGAATATGTGGCTGACAAAAGATTGTACAATGTTGTAAACTGATTTCTGCAGATAAAATAAACAGGGTTTTTTTTAAAGACAGGGAGGGGACAATTAACTTAATAAGAGCCTATGATGCTTTAGAGTCAGTGTTGGACTCTGCAACAGAAAATACAGGTAGTCCTCAATTCAGCCCAATTGCTAAGTGAGAAATTTATTAAGTGAGTTTCTCCCCATTTTACAACCATTCTTGCCACAGTTGTTAAATGAATGTTAAATTAGTAACACGGTTGTTAAATGAATCTGGCTTCCCTATTGATTTTGCTTGTCCAAAGGTCGCAAAAGGAGATCACATGACCCTGGGTTGCTGCATCTGTCATAAATGTGAACCAGTTGTCAAGCATCCAAATGTAAATCACGTGACCATGGGGATGCTACAATGATTGCGTGTGAAAAATGGTCATGTCGCTTTTTACAGTGCTGTTGTAACTTTGAACAGTCACTAAATGAACTGTTGTAAGTCGAGGGTTATCTGTACAAAGGACATTCTACAGCCAGGCATATGATTCACTCCATGGAATTTTTCCTACAGTTAACTAAATTGCAGTAATTTGAAGCCATATCTGAAGGCAATGGCCGATTAAGGCTGGCTGGTGCCCTAAACACTGACAAATCTTGGTGCCTCTCTCCGTGGGACATACTGTACAAATGAAGCCAAGCTTAGGCTACATAAAAGTTTTTGTGGTACCCCCTTTGGGCCTCTGGAGCCCTAAGCACATGCTTAGTCTGCTTAATGGTTAAGACACCACTGCTTGAAGGACCCTCCATTCTCGGTACAGAATCTGCCTTTTACTTGGGGGCTGCAGTGTGTCATTTAGTGATGGCCTCTTGTAATCCAACTCTTGAGATGGCCATCTCCTCCTCTTCTAGGAGGTCTATTTCTGGACTCAGTAGCAATATGACTTGGAATTCATCTTTTTAGATTCCCAGACATAGCACATGGATTTTTTTAATTCATGTTATTTTTTAATGCTATTAGACATTGTTTAGTCAGAAGTATATGAAACATGTGCTTGTTTGCATGCCTTTAAATTCAGCAGAGTGTTTTTTTTTAAATGTAAGTATAAGGGATATTATAATAAAAGGAATGAAATCTTCAAATCTTAGCCTCATTCAATTATCCCCCCTCCGATCCCTATTGGATCTGGACTATGAGGGTTCAGTTCAAACACAGTTCAAAGACTCCGTGCAACCAAAAAAAAAAAAAGTTTCCTTTTTATAATTGTTCAATTTGATAAATAACTACTTTGTATAGAGAGAGGCAAGATAATGTTAAGCACACACACATACACACACAGATACACACACACACAAACAATTGGTTGCATGCAAGACATTTTCTACAGTGGACTTTTAAGAATTCCTTACAATTTCTTGTAAGTACTTCAGATTGCTGCAAAGTTGTGTTTACTTTTCCTTGGATGGGGATGGGGAAAAGATGAGTAGACATTTAAAGATTCTGGTTGGATATTGAGTAAAACACTGTCATAAAACCTGATTTCAGTGCCAAATTTAACATGGAAATATAACATTTGTAACAATCTAAATATATCTTGGAATACACACAGAGTAAATTTCCCTCTTAGTTATTAGTCCATTCTGCCTCCTCCCTTCCTTTTATTTACTTGAAGAGCTATCCTAAAGCTGCCTTTTTTCTTTTCTCTTTATTTACATATTACAAAAAGCATATGTTTTACATGGTCTGACAATATGTTACTTTTAGTAGCTAGGACCTTCAGGGGTCTCCAACCTTGGCAACTTTAAGACTTGTGGACTTCAACTCCCAAATTCCTCAACCAGCAAAGCAAAGCTGGCTGAGGAATTCTGGGAGTTGAATTCCACAAGTCTTAAAGTTGCCAAGGTTGGAGACCCCTGTTTTTGATAGGACTAATCTTCCCATTTTGCAGCAACCTCTATGAGGAATGAGTTAAGGTAGTAAGTTAGTAAATGTATAGGCTCACTTATATACATGACTCTGACTAGCCCATAATTAAAACAATTAAAATCAGTTTCCTGCAGAGAAAGGCAAAAAAGTTACTACCCTTATATATCCAGCTCTTTGATTCTTTTTCACAAATATGTTGTACCTGACATGGCTAAAAAGCATTACCTTTGCTTGTCTTTATTTACTTAAAAAAACACCCAAAAGGTAAAAGAAACACAGGCTTAGATAGAAAACAAACAAACTGTAGGCAGACACAGTGCCCTGGGCAGAAAATTCAAGTGGCATCATAAATCACTCAATTGTGGCAAAATGCCAGCCAGCTTTCGGTTGAAGTGTGGAATTAG